AAGTTTCATTTTCGCTGTTGCCTGACCAATGAAATTCTTTGCTTTCAATAAGTAAACCCCATGGTCTTCAAACTTGACATTGTTTATTCGTAGAGCACCAGTTGCATAGAGTCCCTCGTCTACTTTCTTGTTGTCTTTGTACCACGAGATTCTAGGATTAGGAAAACAAGAGGCTATGGACGGAATGACCACATTATCGCCTTCTTTGGTGACAAGAACAGATGGAGGTCTTTTGGTTAGTTTTGGAAGAGCTTTCAAAAAAGATTAAAATGTACATGAGCTTGTATATTTTACATTTATTTACCACTATAATTATAATATATAATAATTATAATTAATATAATATAATTTAATAAATTTATAAAGCGCTATATAATTACACTCTATAGCGCTTAACAATATATGGTAGTTATTAAATGCATGTGAAATTAAATATTAAAGATAAAAATAACATAAAAAATAATAATAATGTCTGGTCCAATAAAATGTCACTTAAAAAAAATAATAATATGAAAACAATTTCAATGATACAGGTAAGATATTTACAAGTCATATGCCTTAGTAAATAGATAAGTTTTTAAATGTTTCTTGAATTGATTCAAAATTGTACAATGTTTTAGCTCTCTTGGTAGACTGTTCCAAAGTGTTGCTCACATGTAAGCAAACGATCTTCCGCCAAACGTGGTTTTCTTAATCTTAGGAACACTTAAATCATTATTTTTATCCGCCCTTGTTCTTTTCATAGTTTTCCGAATAGTTCGTGTTGATTTAGGTTTCGTTCTTGTCAAATACCCACCAAGGGAATAGATAATTGATGAATCTTTTCCAGTGAGCGCTGTTCCTGGCACTCCCCTCGGTCCCTGCGGACCTGGTAGTCCAGGTGGACCTTGTATTCCAGGAGATCCTCGAAATCCTCGTTTACCACGCCTTCCTCTTTGTCCGCTTGGTCCTTTCGGCCCTTGTGGACCCGGTGCTCCGGGTGGACCTTAAATTATCAAATGGAATTTTCTCTTCACAAATAAAATCAATAAAGAGATTGATGGAATAGTGAAGAAAATTTCATACCTCTGACACACGCTGGTTTACTTGATGGTTTTGACGGTTTTAACTATGCGATAAATAGCAGTTCTATTAATACACCCTGCCTTTGATTTATCAATTCACAGAGGTCACAAATTTGGCGACTTTATCCAACTTGATATGTACACTATATTAGATTTCATTAGAAATGTCTGGAAACTTTCACGAATATGATTTTCGTATCATTGTCAAGTTTGGTTATAAGGTGTTTGTTCTTAGTAACTTTTACTATTAAATATTATTAATAATGAAACCACGATCTTACAATTACTTTACTCTTAAAAATGGTGACTGATGCCACTGAAACATCGAGTCTTGTCGTTATAAACATTATAGTAAAAGTTTGTTTATTTCACAGAAATTGTGTTTCTGTTTGCTTCTTGGTCCATGTTGAGAATCAATATATTAAAAGGCTTGACAGAATAATTTGTTCTTGTAAATGACGAATTGTTTTGCACAATGCAAGAACGAAATAAGATCGTTTACATTGTATCTAAAAGTTTCGTGAAATCTCGTGTTTGTTCATCAAAACTGAAAGTCATAGTGACAATGCAGAATTGCGCATACCTTTTTGGATGATCTAGACGAGAAGAATTGCATACAGAGATCTCTGCATTTGGTACAAGCACTCGTTGGATCTCTCGAGCCATTGTTAGCCGCTCTTGGCAAGCGATTTTTATATACATCAACGTCTGACTCTGTTTTCTTGATTTGCTCACATCGAACGATTCGTTCGTCCAAAGTATGCACTCTGTAAGTCAAATACCCCACAGACAGTATTGTCAGGGCTAAATTSAGCAAWAMACCAAGCTGAASTATACAACTCGTTTTAGATTTTCCACTGCCCTCCATGACGATATGAATTTGCCAAAACGTGCATGTCTTTTATTTTCCACCTCTCAGTAATTTGAGTATTAATCTATATAGAGGTCATGGAAATAGTAGAAATGGTTCAGCAATAGCGGAAGTTGCTATGTTTATAGCTTTTGGATCGACCGTTTCCGGAACATCAAGTTCAAGTTTATTTTTTGAAGAAGTTACATGAATGATGTGATGGTCTGCAAACTAGTGTAGATACTTAACTATTTTTTAGCTATATTTAAAGGGTAAAATTAAATTGTGTTTATGCAACTTTCATTAATTTTAAAAGTTTTGTTCATATTGTCTTTTATTTTGGCATGAATCAATAAAATACATTGCTTGATTTCGTTGGATAAAATTCAAGTAAAGGTGTTGGTCGCGTGACTACCTATTTCTAGAACACAACCCAAGAAGAATACTAGAGCCTTTCAAAAGAGGTTGTTGGGGGAACCAAGGTGTCATGTTCCTGACGATGACCAAGAACTATTTTTGAAATATAGAAACAAAAAATGTTTACAAAATTCGTCTAATAACATGTTATGTAATCAAGTATAAGCTGTTTTAAAATCAAAATTATGGACATTTTAAATCAAAATTATGGACATTTTTTGTCCTTTGTAACCTTATTGTAGCCTCCGTAGCAGACGTTCCAAGCGGTTCGATTCTCTCCCGCAGAAAGCGGGAGAGAATCGAACCGCTTGGAACGTCTGCTACGGAGGCTAACCTTATTGGGCACTGTTCGCTACCTTAGAACAAGTTATTTATTGAATGTCACATAACTACACATCCATTGGTTACAACATCATTGGAGTTGACCGAGTTTTCATCGATGTCCGTCGGTTTAAAATCGGTGATGCTCGAATCATGGGCATCGACTTTCTGTTTAACAACGGACAAGTTTGGTATAGCAGTTGAATCCTTCGGTTTTTCATCGGAAGTGTTCGGTTTTTCAACGGATCTGTTCGGTTTTATGTCCGTTGTGTTGGGCTTTACTAATTTTCTCATATCCCTCAGTTCTTTGCGGAGTCTAGGTATAAATAAGATGAATCAGTACGGACGTTTTTATTAGTAGGAAATATTGATAAACTATATATAACGAATTTTGAACTATTTCTGGGTCTCGGCCTGATATCCGATCTTGGTACGAACGACGTCCGCCATCTTGAATTGTGTTTTTTCCTTATAACAGTGCGTTGTTTGTTAATACAACATTGTACAATGTGAATGCAAAATCG